ACCAAATATGGTTTACACTGAGTGCCTTTGTATGATATCCACATTTGCATCCACACAAAACATTGATCTGCTTTCTAAACTTACAGCCTCTGGACAAGTCAAGGAGAATGAGCTTTGCTGACTAGAAAAGTGGGAGCCCAGCCTTTTGTTCCAACACTAGACAGTGCAAGGTGGAGAGTGAGAGCTGGATTCAGAGAACTGCACCATTTTCAAATTAATAGCCTTCATTCAAATACTGTCTACTAAAAATCCATGCAGTGGTGGTAAAGCAAATATTCTGGTTTAAAAAAATTCTGCATCAGAAAGTGTGTGATATGGCTTAGAGTTTCCTGCTAAGCTTCATATTGGACTGCACAGTTGTGCCTTCCACTTCCCCAAGTACAGCTTCATATTTGATACTACCAACATGGTACACCAAAATGCTGATAGATCAACCACTCTCAACTAAACCTATTACTTCTGGAAAAAAATCCAAAACCCTCATTCTACAGCTGGACTGACACAATCCTTCATCTGGACCAGGAGAGTCTGTATTGTGACTTTCCTGGTCCAGGAGTGTATATGTACCACACACACCAGAAAGAATTTATGTACCTGAGAGACAAAAAGCTTTCTGAATAGTTTTATTTGACCTAGGGTCTCTCTGACGAAGTATTATATGGGAGAAGCAAAGATAGTAAACAGAGGGCATGGAACAGAAATATTTTGAGGTTAAGTTCTGTTCTGCTTGTTGGTGGCCCCTTTATTTTTCACTTTTCTTGCACCCTAACCTGTCAACTTCCCAAAATCCAGATGAAATTCTATTTTAAAGAAGTTGTTAAGAGTTGAAAAGCCTGTATTACTAGGGATTAGAAGGATGGCAGTCAAAATTATTAACTTCACACACTTTTCATATTCCTACTATTAGAAAGAGTCTAAACCCCCTTTATTTTGTCCTCTCTACAAGCACAGAAAAAACCCTTGTTTTCACTAATGATCTTGTAATCTAAATACTGCAAGGAACAAGAAATGGGATACTACAACAAAGCAATGAAAAAAAGGTATGTGTGATATGAAGATTTAAAGGACTGTTGCAAACATGTAGAAACAAAACAAGAATTTTAAGAAGGGATGCTTTGGGAATAGCAAAAGCCTCAAGAGCTTCAAAAAGAGCACTGGGAAAAGCTTAAAAAGAAAGGCTGAAAAATTAGCACACAAAAAATAAAAACTCAGGTTTAATGAGGACATGAAGTAGTTCCTGGGATGACAGTCAGTACAGAACATATGTATAGATGATAACACAGAAGAAAAGCCACTTGGAAGCAGCAAAGTGCTTTTGTATAGTGTTAAGTATTCCTACTACTATTTTTTCCAGCCTACTACAGATACAGATAAGAACTGCAAAGTTTTATGGATTTAAATTTTACAGAAGATTGATTACTTGAACTCATTCAGTATATTATGTTATTTCCAGCCTGACTTTGTAAAAAAAGCCCAAACTGGTTTATTCTATGAATATTTCTTGCTATTCTATTTTACATAATATATACATACATATATATGTATATATACATATATATACACATACACACACACACACATATATATATATTTTGGAATTCTTATTAGTGGGTCAATTATAAGGAATTTTACAGACTAGAATGCATATGTTCTACTTGTGAAATATTTCCTAGAAAGCATTAGTGAATATAAATTCATTTGAGATTTCTGTCAGATTTTCTGACTACTGTCATTCTATTGGCATACATGTTTCAGTGGCAAAACAGATAAATTTGGAATAAAAAAAATATCAATAACCTTCTTTCCACTTCCAGAAAATATTTCCTTTAGTCAACTTTCTTCTTTGTCAATCAAGTTAAAACAATGACTCAAAATGAAGACATCTTGGCATATGTATCTTTTATTCTTTCTATAATGTAGTACTCCCACTGGCTTTCATGGGAATTATGCATATGAAAAGACTGCATTATTAGGTTAGATTAAGAGAAGACATTTAGAAATACTTAACACATCATACCACTTCAGAACCTAATATTTATAGTGGTACTTAAGCCTGGAGCAATATAAACAAAAGTACAAAATACAACTCCTGGAAATGTATTATGGATGGATTTTTCTTAACTTTTTCTAATAAAATTTTACTGAGTTAAAACTATATTTCCTGCTTTTCGATATATGAACAAATAGAGAAAAATTAATCAGATTACTCCAAAAGACTTGCAATATTCCTAAATGAAAGAAATCACATGTCAGTAAAAGGGTTACATACCAAAATATGAACTAGATCTCTGTGTAACCACATTAAGGTCCTTAAAATTTTTCTTGGTCCCTATGTCTTTTTTAACATATTAAATCTGATCCTCTGTAAGCATAGCCAGTCATCTTTAACTCTTCAGACACATGCTTTCCATTTTGACTTCATAAGTGTTGCTCTCCTCCCATGCCACAACAACTCATTGATAATATGAACAGTCTTCCTCTGACCCAGGAAAGATATTGGGCCCTTCCTTTCTCTCAACTAAAATTGAATGGTTCTCTACTTTAACAGATTGGGTACACAATTGGCCCTTCCCCAGATGCATAGCTCAGATGTAGAGATAATCTTCTAGGCTAGTTAGAATGTGATAACTTTCTAAATGTTTCTTTTTCTTTTTTTTTTAACCTAAAACATACTGCTTCGCAGTTAACCCTGGATGGTAATTTTTGATTGCCAATAACACTCTTGCCACTTTAGTAAAAAAGTATTCTCACCTGCCTGTAATAGTGCCTCAAATTCAGATTGTCCAATCTGACTGGAAAAGTTCAGATTTTAACTTCTAGCCACCCATCTACTTTATAACAAGGGCATTGTTATAAAATTTTGACTCTGCAACAGTACTTCTACAACTTGAAACAATCCTCTGAGGATTGAATGCTTCAGATATTCTTTACAGCTTGATACCTCACATCTGGATATCACTAATCAAGTCAGTCACAGGTACTTATCTTGTGAGATAAGGATATTGGAAACAATAACTATGAAGACTCCTGCTAAAAATCATAAATCCTTGAATTAAAGACCTGTTCAAACACACGCTGCTCCTTTTCCAGTTAGCTGTAGATACCCTAGACTGTATCCTGGGTTAACAGATGTCGTTGTACCCAACATGTACAAGTCATTGTGTTAAAATTTCCTTTGGGAAACTAGATTTTCTTAAAAACTGACAAACCACATTTCATTAAGTGAAAATAGAGAACTTACATGGCATTTGAAACCATGTCTAAGTCCAAAACACTGCATTTCAAGAAAGTAGAACTAATGAGAGTCCAGAGCACAGCAATAAGAATTAAAGGAATACAAGAAAAATATTGGGGTTTTCTTCTATTAAGTTGAAAACAAAAAACAGGGGTTGTTTAAAAGAATAACACAGTGGAAACATGACTGAGAATCTCAAATATATAAGAGTCTGGGGAAAAGAGGAAAAAAGAAATACCTGTCACTACTAACTAACAAAAGCTCATGGGTTCAACTAATTTACTTTTAGCAGATTAAGTTTAAGAAAGCACAAAAAACATTCTAATGGGAAGACTAGTGAAATCTTGGAATAGATAACTTACTTAGGTAAGTAATCATAACAAATCTTTAGACAAACAGGCAGGTGCTCACTTAAAAAGACAACTTTTATTGATTGTGGCTTTGGAGGAAGAGTGAGGGGGCACATATGACACCTTTTGGGAATAAGTTTCAATTGTATGATTCATGCTGAAGTGACTGAAGAAATGTGGCTGTGTAGTGACCCACTTGCTGTGGGATCTTGACTTGGAAGGAAAGTCTTTTTCTGGAAAAGACCAAATCAAGTTCTTCATGTATACAATCACTTGGATTCTGCTACAATCTACAAATCACCTAGTTACCTTGATTCAATCTGCAGCTTCTTAATTCAACTGTTTAATGATAACAACTTTCAGGGCTGGACTATATACAACCAATATCTGATCCAACCATAGGATACAGGATTTTGCTTGATAAGAGGAATTACTTAGTAACATGTCCCATGGCCTTGAGGCCAGACAATACTAGAAATAGCTTCTAATAACACTGAATTCCAGATGTAGACTTTGCTGAAAAACTTAAAGGAATTAGTTTTACAATATTTTTCTTTTAAAATCTAGATGTACTCCAAATTCTTGTTCTCGTATATCTGCTATTAAGTTGGGATCTTTAGTGTTTTGATTGTTTTTAATTTAAGCCCAAAACTTTACTGGCAGATCTACTATCATAATTAGAGTCACAATCCTGTACAAAGGCCACAAGCCTTTGGAGTCTTTGGAGAATCAACACTAAGTAAGGAACCTTCTCTAGTCAGTTATTTTGCTTCCAATAAAAATGTCTGATTAATGGGAGAACACAGGGCAAATGTACAGCTTGCAGTCTCCCAGATTAGCAAATAAGTATGGAAAAACTATCATTTTCCAGCTTCATTTCAATATTCCTGCCTATCATTCTATAATAAGAAGCAAGTAGAAGTAGGAAAGTTACACAGCCATACTTATTCCCTACATTTAAATCATTTGATCTAACACCAGGTAAATGATCCAAGGTATAATCAAGAAACCTGCATCAGAGTTCATCTTTTGGATGATGAGAACTAAACTATTAGAAAATAAAGTTTTTAAAACGTATAAAGACCATGACAGCTGTAATAGGTACAACAGCAATATAGCAAGTATCAGATGTTCTCAAAGTTTCTACACAGAAAAAGTAGCTCCCACTCAAAACACCGTAATTTGACTAAGTTACGAACGTCAGTGCTTCAAATAAAATCCTTTAAAATACATCTCATCTATACATGATTGCTCTCTGATGGTGTTTACTTTGCTGCCCCTTTCATAACCACTACAAAGAGGCACCAAAACGCAGCTCCGCCTCCACCCTCCGAGCAGTAAAGTTGCCAAAAACGCGGTCCCGGAGTAAAGCGAGCCCCCGGGTTGCCCATTGGGGCTGTCCGCGGCGTACTCACCATGGCGGGCTAGTTTGGAAGACTTTCTTCCCCTCCCCCTGCACCTAAGCACAATGAGGGAGAATGGAGAGCAGTTTCAGCATTAAATTTGAACTTCCCTGCTTTTGTTAGCATGAGTCACCACCTTAACATTATCTCAGCTGTAGACTTTTATCTGTGAATATCTAAGCCCTGTCTTGTGGAAAACTAATTACTGAGCCACTGAGAGGCTTCATAATGTCCTGCATTTAAGTCCTGAACATCATACATAATGCATAGGAAGCAGTCGCTGCACTCTGATTACAGAACACTGTCATTAAGAGAGCAAATTAAAGATGTGAATAATTCACTGGCTGAGCTTATTGTCAGTGCTGCATTGTGAAATTAGAATTTCTAATAAGTACTGCAATTTTTTTAACCCAATTAACACAGAGAACATCTTGAGTCTGATTAGTACAATAAAAATTATTACCTTATTCTTTTGCTTCACAACAGCCAAATTAAATACTGTACTTAATTATGCAGCATTCATCGCTTCTGTGCTAGAAATAATAATAATAAAAAATTCTCACTATCGCTTTAATAAGACTTCCAATATTTAGAGTGCAACTGAAAAATAGAGCATATGAATCTTCTGCACAATTTCTTATCACAAAGTTACTGGCTTTTTTTTTTACAGACTTTGAAAATAGGGTTTAATATCAGCAGCCGACCATGATGTCACTGCTGAAGTCTTCTCTGGAAACAAAAAGGTATTAAAAAAAATCCCACAAAACGACCCTTCTGAACAAGCTCTGAATATATATTGTGAATTAACTTTCTCTGGGTTGATGTGAAGGCAGAAAAAAAAAAACCCAAATCACTCACTGCCTTGAAATCGAATACACAAATATACAAACATAGAAACATTTATACATACACACAGACACACACACACACATATATATATAGGTTGTTTCAGAAAAGATGCTTAGGAAATATAGTAAAAAAAAAAAAAAAAGGAGCTGGATCAGCTCTCTTACCTCAGTTCCCTCTTGGCACGGGATAGATAACATCCTTTCATCCCAGAAAGGATAAAAGTCCGATTCAACATCCAGCATGTTGATTTTTCCCCACACGATGCCTGCTGCCATGTTAAATAAAGAAAATGATCACTGAGGATGCAGCTTTTGTCTCCAAATATTTGAATACTGCCTTTTAGTGACAAGGACCCCAGGAACCTTCGCACATCTGGCAGCAGTCACCACTGGCTGCAGCTGCTGCAATGGGATTTTTCCTCAACCCTATTTCATTTCCAGCTCCTTTTTCTTCCCCATCCTGAGGAAGTTTAATCACCAAGCATGGCTAGGGAAGAAAAAAAAGGAGAAAAAAAAAAAAAAAAAGGAAAGGTGGCATTGCAATCACAAGCTTTCTTGGTTCTGTCCTAGAGACAGGGACTGCAGCAACCACCTTGCATCTTTGTCTAGTTATTTTAGCATGTGCGTGCAAGAGGAGAGGAAAAAAAAAAGACTGAAAATTATTCAGGCATAATGCAATAGACATAAAGAGACAAAAAGACAGGGAGAGAAAGAGAGGGGAAGAGAAAGAGGGAGAGTGAGGGAGGGAGAGGAAACAGAAAGACTAAGAGAGGGAGAGGGGGCTGTCAGTGCAGATAAATCTGCATATGGAAATCAGGGTTATCCTGGGTACAGTTTTATTTAACCATGATGTACTGTTTTTTTAATTAGACAGGAATTTAAAGAAGGAAATGAGAGATTCTTACAGACACGGGAGCAAATGAAGCATTTTAAATCACAGCAAAGCTTTTAGAGCAAGCTGTAGTAGCAACAGCAAAACTTTTTATAGCAACTTTCTTACTAGAAGGAAGTTTCGTGTACTGCTGCTATTTTGCACCCAAAATCCAGGCAAAACTGGAAAAGCATTCATTTTGAACCGAAATCAAACCACAATAATCCAAAACAATGCAACACTTTTTTAATAAAAGAGCCAAAAGCCACTAGGTGCACAATGTGCAGTCACAGGTTTTAGGACTTTTGCCCTGGCCACCATTCTCTGGTGATTGTCACACCCAGATGAGGCGCTGCAGTAAATGATAGGAGTGATAGCTAGCACTAAACACCTCTTCCCAAGCTTGATGAGAGGTGTGTTTGGGGATGCAAACATTATCTGATAGTCATAGGAAGCTTGGATCTGAATTTGTAAGGCATCAGAAAAGACCAGGAGAACCTCATGCCTATCTCTGTGAGGGAGCATGGGAATGAGTGAACTGAGAAGGCCGAGGAGAAGGAAAATGAGGTTCAGTTGAAGTCCAGACAAGGACACCAGAGAAAGAAAGGGGACAATCGCAGTGCAAGGAACGATGTACAGGATGTTACAGGAACGATGGGGCAAAACTCTAACAGCATGTAGTGACAGAACACGGGGGAGTGGGTTCAACTTGAAACAGAGTAGGTTTAGATTAGGTATTAGGAAAAATATCTTTACTGTGACGGTGGTGAGGCACTGGAGCAAGGTGAACAGCGATGTTGTGGATGCCCCATCCCTGGAGGGGCGCCAGCAAGGCTGGATGAGTCTCTGAACACTCTGCTGTAGTTGAAGTCACCACAGGAGGTTTGGAAGTAGATGATCTTTAACGTCCCTTCCAACCCAAGCCATTCTATGATTCCATGATTCTGTGAGCACAGGCAGCTGGACAGCAGTGGCAAGATGGTGGCGTCCACATACAAGGTGGCCAGTAAGCACTTGCGCTGGCTGGCCCGCCGACGGACGCCCAGTTCAGCAGGGAAGCCCGATGGCCTGGGAGGAGCGGCGGGCGGTGCTTCGGCCTGGAGTG